GAGGCGCCACTAAACAGTGTTGGTTAACAGTTAACAGTGTGGCGCCTGACAAAGCGTTGCCACGCAGCTAAAGAAATCTGCTAACATGAACTTTGCCAGGAACCTTAGTACATTTTAAAGCATATTCATTTGCAATTCGGTGCATAAAATAGTTGTTGTTGTTGTCTGTTCCAGGTGAAGAGCCAGCTGCAATGCAACATGCGAATGGGACTCGATTTATATCCAGCCCCCTAACTATGGTTGTGTTTTTTTTAATATTCGCGATAGTCAAACCGTTTCAGCGATGACAACATTGTGAATGGCCTATAAAAATTTAAAAAAAAAAAAAAAACTAAAAAAACTTTAATAAACTTAGACGAAGTGAGAGAGCGACAGAAGTATTATGGGAAAATGCATAAACCAAAATAAGAATCTTGTCCAGGATTGCATTTTCAACTTTTACTCTAATCATGGGTTGTTTAAAAATACACATAGCATAATTGAATACTAATTGTAGGCTTAAGAGAGACATGTATTTAAACGAAACAAAAAAAAAAAAAAAACAAAACCAAAAATGGGCGGATCTGAAGAAAAAAAAAAAGGTCGTAGATAAGGGCGTACGAAGGAAGGAGAACAAAAACAAAGAAAACTATTGAGTTTTGCAATTTGAAAATTAATTAATTAATTGTACAGCAAAGGCCGTGTTTTTTGTTGGCTAACGTACAGATCCCCGCGTTTCCCTCTCCCCCAGCCCATCCCTCGCCATTCTTTATATAGTTTATTTATAGGGATTATTAATTATTGCCATTATATATGTACATAATAATCCTGCATGTTGATGGTTGTAGCTTCTTTGAAATCGAACGGCATATCAGTTGGGATCACATTGGAAACATTCTTGGATGCAATTTGTTATAAACAAATCAGAATATACAAGTTAAGCCCCATTTACTTTCCGCTGTCAACTTATCGAAAACGAAAAGGAACAAAAAACAAATGTTTGAAAATTATATATTTTAATTATGGAGCAGATTTAGATATGAGTACTTCTTACCCTGATATTTAGACCAAGAGAACATGAAAAAAAAATACCATTATGCCATTCAAAATGGATAAACATATCCTTTAATTTAACAAATTGTTGTTACTTCGGAACCAAATGAACATTTTTCAAACAGACAACCGAGCATCGAGATTAAACACGGACCAATCGGTTATTTCAGAATGATTTTCAACATGATTTCACAGTTCACATCTTCCTTTGATTGGGGCATTATCATTATACGATTTGGTATTGTGATTTCGAATGTGCTTGGCCGCTTTATAAAACTTGCTTGCATCATTATTGTTGTCACAGTCGTATATATATATATAGATATCTTATCCTAAATCTATTCATTTTTTACTCCCATTTTCTAAACATATACTAAGAAATCAAAAATTAAAAACAAAAAAAAATTCAAAGAAACTTAAAGCTCAGCTTAAACTACACAAAATTAAATGTTAAGGATAAAACAAAAAAATATAAAGAGAAAAAGTAAACTCGGCTAATTTCGAATGGTCCACAGTAGTTATTGTAAATTATTCAATTGATCCCAACCAAACCGCGGGTTGGTTTATTTTATGGTGTATGCCCTTAAATACAAAAAAACAAATGTTGGAGTGAGATAACGAAACAATACTTAGAGACTAAAGAAAAGTGACGAAACTTTTAGAAGCATTTTGGTTACAGAACAAATATTTAAGAATTATTACAAATAAATGATATTATGATAACAACATAAATATTTATGTATGCGGCCAATGTCAATGTCAATGTCAAATGCCGTCATTAATATAATAATGCAGAAATTGTATAAGCCACACAGACACACACACGCACACACGCAAACACACACACACTCACACATTTGTTTTTTTCTATTAAAAAAAGAAAAGAAAAGATAACTTCAATTCCATTTATGTAGTTTTCATTTACAACGCAGAACCAAATAAAGAATCTATATGTATTTGAATTGTATTCAAATAGTCGTTAAATTGTCGTTAGCTTTCTTTTTATCGATAACTTGTGATTTGTTCCGCTGCTGCAGCAACGATATTAACGATTCCAACGATAGTACACAGCCGATAGATATCGTTCATATCGATTTGATACTGTGCTGCGGCGCAAAATTTGAAAAGTGTATGTCACTCTGTAAAATGAATAAGATTTAAAATGGCTTAAATTCGTACTTTCAGTTGGTTATTTTTAATTTAGTATTTATTTGAAATTTTGTCTGACAAAGTGTTATTTAATGCCAGAATAATACAATTGTAGCGCTAGCTTGTAATCTCGTGAGTGCCAACGATTAATCGATAGGCAATGCACTTGGCGTACGCTATCTTGTGAATATGCATTGACATGCCATAATGGATGCACACATACACGTGCAGCAGGCGTATATGCATGTGTGACGTAGATAAACAGTGCAATGGACAAACAATAACCTTTTCAACAGGTCGCACGTGCTCGCGCAACGCTCATCTCTAATGTGCCGTGTTTTGGCTGGATTCCAGTTAAACTTCGCAGCTTAGCCAATTGGAAATCGCTTTTAATGCTGCCCAAGCCAAAGAAGTACATAAGCTGTCTGTATGAAAATTTCGGCCTGAGCACGTTCAAGCCGCTGCAATGGAAGATAATGCGCGCCCTGCTAGTCCAGCCCCGCGGGGGCGGGGATGTGTGCGCGGTAATAGCCACCGGCTATGGCAAATCGCTGACCTATCAGTTTCCCGCCTTTTATCTGAACAAGGTGGTTGTGGTCATTTCGCCGCTAATCGCGCTGATGGAGGACCAGGTGAACGCGCTGAATCACAAATCGAAGACGGGTGAGCCGTGCGCCTGTCTGCTGGGCACCGCCCAGGAGGATCGCGCCATTAAGGAGCGCATTCTGGCGCTGCACTTCAAATTGGTGTACGCCACGCCGGAGTACATAACCCGCGGCAATGGGCTGAAAATGCTACGCGATCTGGGCGACAATCTGGCGCTGATTGCCATCGATGAGGCGCACTGCATCTCGAAGTGGGGTCATGAGTTTCGGCCCGCCTACCGCCAGCTCAGCCAGCTGCGTGAGGCTGTGCCGCAGGTGCGTCTACTGGCGCTGACCGGCACGGCGACGTTGCGTGTGCGCCGCGACATCTGCGAGCAGCTGCAGATGCGCCGGCCGCTGCTGCTGTGCAGCGGCCTGGATCGACCCAATCTGGAGCTGACGGTGCGCCCGAAGGGCGCCCAACTCTGGTCCGATTTGCAGCCGTATCTGAGCTGGGCCGAGGAAGCGGCCGGCGCCGTCATCATCTACAGCAACACCATACGCGACACGGAGCACATGGCCCAGGAGCTGAGCCGGCGAGGCAAAAGCTGTCACAGCTACCACAGCAAGCTGCCGCTCGAGCTGAAGCGCAGCAATCAGCAGGACTTTGCCAGCGATCGGGTGCGCATTATGGCGGCAACGACGGCCTTCGGCCTGGGCATAGATAAGCCCAATGTGCGCCTCGTCGTCCACTATGGTGCGCCCAGCGACATGGAGCGCTACTATCAGGAGATCGGTCGCGCCGGCCGTGACGGCCTCACGGCCAAGTGTGTGCTCTTCTGGGGGGACACGGACGCCGCAACGCATCAGCGCCTGCAGCAGAGCCAGCCGTTGACGGCGCAGCGCAGCGAGGAGCTGCAGCAGCTGGCGAGCGCCATGCTCGAGTACACGCAGACCACACAGTGCCGGCGCCAATATATACTACGCTACTTCGATGACCAGGCCACGCTCGGCGCACTTCAAAGGCGGCACAATTGCTGCGACAATTGCCGCAAGGCGCGACATCCGCAGGCGGTGCCGCCGCTGGAGCCCGGCCAGCTGGACGTGAGCCGTGAGTCGCAGCTGTTGCTGGGCATGCTGCGGGACGTGAACGGCCGCGTGGGCCTGGCCAGGCTGACGCTCGCCCTGCGCGGCTCCAGCAGCAAGCGCGTGCACAGCGATTGCCGCCGCCATGAGAACTTTGGCAGCGGCGCACATCGTTCCAGTGTCTGGTACCGGGCACTGGCCGAGCAGCTGAAGGCGACGGGCTACATCAAGGATGAGTATCAGCGCGGCTCGAAGAGTGCCTTTGGCTTTCTGATGCCGCAGGTGACGCTCAAGGGCTGCTGCTGGCTGGACGAGGAGCCCGCGCATCGCGGGCCGATCCACATTCTGCCTGGCTCCCGGCTGGACAGGCTGACCAGGCAGCGGCAAAAATGCCACAAAAAACCATCGAAAGCCTCGCTGGACTGGGGCTCCGATATAGATCTAGATGATTTGGATGAGACCGCGGCCAGTGCGGAGCAAACGCTGTCGTCCAGCAACGACTCGGTGTGGGGTCCAGATCTGGACTGGATTGACTTTCAGCAAATCGACGAGGCGGTCGCTGCCCAGTCCAATTGCATAGCCCCAACTGCGCCCGTTCACAACTCACCTGCGGCTCCTGCCCAGAATGAGCTGGAGTCCCTGCTCGCCGACTGCCAGAAGATTTTGCGCGAGGAGCAGGAGGAGAGCACGTGCACGCTCAAGGCACGCAAGCGCGTCTGGCAATACCTGGAGGGCAGCTACCAACGGCAACCCCTCATCCCTAAGTACAAATACGGCTCAAGGCCCACCAAAAGCAACTGACTACCATCTATCTATACCTAATCCTAAGCCTAATTGTTACTAGATCAAATTTCTAGCATTGTTTTCTTTAGCAAAATTTTATCAAGGTACTTAAATATGAGCACACTTGTAATTTACAACCAGCTTGTAATAAATTTACAAGCTGCTGTTAAAAAAGTTTCTTCAAAATGTTTCTATATATATTTTGAAACATATTTTAGAATCAAGCTTAACAATATTTTCAATATATTTGTTAGAGGAAAGTTTTCAAAGATACTTCCATATTTGTTTTCAATTTACAAGCAGCTGTTAATATATAAATATTCCTAGATTTGATCCTAGTTGTTGCCATATATTCAGTAGATCAAATTTATGGAATTATTTTCCTTAACAAAACGTTTTCGATGTACTTAAAAAGGTGCACACTTATAATTTACAACCAGCCTTAAAAAATTTTACAAGCTGCTTTTTAAAAAGATTCTTTAAAATATTGAAAATACATGAAATTCCAATATATAGTGAATGTGAGGTTAGGCCCGATATTCAACTGGGTTAAGTAATATAAATGCATACACAAAATTAATCAAAACTTAAATATAAGTGTATATATATATATATATATATATATATATATATATATGTGGGTATTTGGATAGGCCATAGTTTAGGCATAAGTTTGTGTATTTCTGTGGGTTACGATTGCAATCCATCGGCGGTTGGATTATTGCCATCGGCAGTCGCTGGTCGACTTTCGCAGCTGTCCTCGCCGCTGCTGGTCGTGGAGGTGCCCTCCTCGGGCGAGATCTTGGACGCCTCATCGGAGGCCTCCTGCAGAGTATCCTGGGCGCTGGCGCTGGGCTGTTCGAACTGCTCGGCCTCGGCGCCTTTTTTCGTCTGCATCAAAATGTTAACATTTATTTATATTTTTAGATATGGACATATATATATAGATAACCTTCTTGCGCTTCTTCGGCTTCTCGGCTTTAACGGCGTGCAGCTCGGCCTCTTCCTGCTGGGCGGACTTGTAGCTGGGCGGAAAAAATTTGGCAGCCTCTTTGTGGCCAACAACTGAGTTGGGGCTCACATAGCTGGGGCCATATTCCATGAGCAGCGGTATTGTCGGACCCGGCACCTTGTTAACCTTCAGCACAATTTTATCGGTGCTGAGCGAGAATGCATTAAACGAATCAAAGTCAAATAACGTTCAAAACCAGGGCTGCAAGAACCAAAACAAAACAAAGATGGCCGACGATTCGGTTTACGGTTCGTGAACCGGGTTTTCGGCAACAGTGCTTCGATTTTGCTTCGGTTTCGTTCAAGTTCCGGTTCACCTGCGAACCGGTTCAATTTGGATCGTGCCTGCAGCCCAGCTGAAAACAGTTACTTACGGCACATATGGCTTGGCATTGTATTTGTCCACCGAGTTGGCTATAAAGACGGCCGTCTGCGGATTGTCGCTGGTAAAGAAGCCATAGAGCGGCACATCCTCCTTGCAAGCGTCCACCAGATTCATCAGATCCTTCTTTTTGTACGCATCGAATGTCATGATGATATGCGGCGCTTCGGGCACCGGATCGGGCGGCAAAAAGGCGGCGGTTTGTGCCCTGAAATAGGTATAGATGAGGGCCGCATGCGTCCGCTGATCGCTGGGCACCCAGATAGGTGGTATTTTGATGGCCTTAAAGTGCAGCGTGTCTTCAGAAGGTTCCGAATCTGCTTCCGGACTATCCTCATCGATTTGATCTAAAAATTCATTTCATCTTTTACAAATTTTCAGATGCGGTTTTGGTGCTGGCGCTTACCTTCAATTCGTACCTGGACCGTTATTTCCAGGTCTGTGATCAGGGGCGGCAGAATGGTTTCCTCCTCGTTGAACTCGTCGGGTGGCTTTATGGTCTCTTTGGTCAGCTCATGTGCATACAGCTGCAGTATATTGGGCGGAGTTCCGATCGTTTCGTCCACTTTCCAAAAGCACATTAACAACTCTTTGTCGTACAAGTGTTGGATAACGTCTTTGGGTAATGGATTCTCGGCCGCAAAGTTCACAGTGTTGAAATCGTTTTCAGTTATGGTAAACACTTTGCGATCCTTGCACTGAATCTTCAATGGATCCGCCGGCTCGGAGAGCTTCTTGAACATATCCCGATTGACCTGTGGACCAAATACCGTAATGCCAATATCCGGCAAATTCTCCATGATGCTATCTGTCACAAATCTCAAATACTCGATGCGCTTCCTTTTGCTCTCTTCGAGCTCAATTTTTGCGGCCAGTTCGAGCGCCTCGTTCTTAATACGCAAGTGTTCCAGTTCAATGGGCTGCAGCTCGGTGATTTCGTAGGTCTGATGCGGCTCCTTGGCCAACGTCGACTCCAGCTCCCTGGTGATCATGGCCACCAGCTTGGGCACATCCGTGCCAAACATAATGTTGATGGCTTTGCCGTTCTGTACAAACGTAAAGTTAGCTTTGGACAGACTTTCGGTGGGAGTACTTGCCGCTACAAACATCCAGGTGGGCTCACTTTTCTTATTAAACCGTTCCAGATACGAAATCGAACCAGCTTTGCACTTTTTTTTCGGTTTGTTAAGAATATTTTATAGGTTAGGTGCAATAACCTAACCTAAAACTTTTTGGAAACTTACAATCGCCAACTGCAAATTGTCGCCACCCAGCTCGAGTTTAATTTTCCGTAGACTGCCCACCATGCCCACACACGGACCACACCATTCCGAATAGATGTCCAGCACTAGAATATAGAAAAGAATACTTTTTCTCATTTACCGCTGCTTCTTCTAGCTGGCAATGTCAAGCCCACCCAGCAGACCGGGTCGCAGGAGGAACTTTTCGAACTCCTCGTCGCTGCCGATGTCCGCCTGCAGCTGCTGAACTCCGCCCTTCTTTGCCATTTCATGCAAAATGATTTGCACTATTCGCTGGCGCCTGCAGTTCGGCATATTAGTGCATAAATTATTGATTAAACAGTGGCCGGATCCGGTTAACTCGGCAGAGAAAAACAACCAACACGGTTGCCAAGTTCAGCTAAACAAGGCTTTTACAGATTTCGTATGGTCAAAACTGCCTGAACTGATGATAAAAAAAGGTTTGAGGACGGCAAAATCCTTAATCCTTCAATTTAAAGTCGATTTCGAACATTCTTGTGACCAGGTTTTGGTTTAAGCCTTGGTTTTTTATATCTTCTCAATATGTTCATGAAATAGAGCAGAAGTTGAGAAAACTTTCGTGGTTGAATTCCAAGTTAATTCTCGCTCAAGAGTTCTTCAAGGGAACTAAAAATTTGGTTTGGGTTTTGGTTCAGACAATTTTGGTTAAAGATTCAATTTAAATTAAAAAATAAATTGGTTCTATTCAAGACAGTTCAAAGCTCTTGTATTACAGGGTATGTGATATTGCAATCATTTGAAGCCCGGAATTTGAAGCATGTGTATTTTTATAGTTTCGTCAAATAGCTTCAAGTGCCTATTTATGCTTTCCAAAACGGCCAACCACAAGTTTAACATGGCATATAAAATCAATAAATAAAAAAATATAAGCCGGCTTTGGAGGGTTGGTTTCTCTGTCTAGGTTCGGGGTATATTAGGGCCCCCTTCTGTTAACCTAAATAGAAAGTGAAACCGTTTTGTTGTTTTGTTATTTCTTAGAATTCTCTCAATGATTTACATGTCTTCTCCTTGTTATATAAAGATCTTTAAATTCAATATCCAGTGCAAAAACACATAATACATAGACATAATACAAACATACACACACCACACACAATATATATGTACATAGATACATAATGTACAAACATATACATATATATGTAAACATACACATATATATATAGCCATATATATATCTAAAATACCAGGTTTGTCGTTTTACAATCTTAAAATGAATAATGGAAATATAGATGCAGCGATTTCTGCTTCAACTCTCGGCAGTTCGATTTATGAAAACAGAAACAAGTGCAACAAATTGATGGGGCGAATGCCAATAAAGGTTGTTTGCTATTCGGACCAAGCGTAGTGGAAACCATTGGTGACATCATGTCTCCTGGGAATGCTGCCGTGTTAAATAATGTCCTTTCGCTTTACGCTTTATCTTTTGGTTTTGCCATTTGTAATAGTTGTTGGTCTCAGATGTGTTTTGTTGGTTAGTGTGAAGCACAGTGTTAGGGCATAAAATGTGCTTGACTAGACGCAATTGGACTGTGAATTTGGTCCCTGGTCTATTCCAGACCCAGCATCCAGTTGATGCCTTGTACTATGAAAAATATAAGTGGCTGCCATGCGACCAACCAGCGAATCCAGTCTAGCAGCCTGCCATAAAGTACGTGTGGCTTCTCCCAGCTGCAAGACATTCAAAAATAGAAGTTTTATACCATTTCCAATAAATCTAACCAGACCAGCTACATACGGATTGCGAAACATTTTCTGTAGATCCACCTTCTCCTTGCAGTAGGGACACGTCTGCTTCTTGCCGACAATGCACCAGCCTCGTATGCAGAACTCGTGGAACACATGATTGCAGGACAGCTTGTAGGTGTTCTCGATGACACCCTCCTCCTTCTCGGAAACCAGCAATTGATTGCCGCACACCGCGCACACGTTCTGATCCAGATGCCGAGTGGGCATGCCTTGAGGCGTATAATACTGCAAATAGCATAATATGTCAGAGTGCACTAGTCGGGCATGCCCGTCTAGACGATACCCAAAAGCGCCGGCATGGAGCTACTTTTACTAACAGTCTACCTATCTTCTAAGCAGCACACAGCGAAAAGAAAGACATGAAATTATCAGGGCTTAAATATAACAGACAAAAGTGTAGACCTAAGCAAAAGCTTCTAACTTTGTAAATTCCGTTCGATATCTATCATATGGAAATAGCTCGTCTCGGGGGAAAAAAAAATGTATGAATAGGCTTCTACTGCGTAGGGTCTTTAGCTCTTCTAGTTACCGAAATAGCCGAACAGACAAACGGACATGGCTAGATCAACCCAGCTCTTCGACCTGATCAAGAATATATACAGCTTATGGGCTCGTCTCCCTGTTACAAACATATAAGCACACATTATGCTCGTTATGCTCGTTTTAGGATCAGATGCAATGACATGGCAAGCTGGGGACTACTTACACCAATGGCAGCTGCCATTTTATCTGAACATATCTCGGATATGTCACGGCCCAGTACACCAATATATAGGCCATAGAAACAGAACATGAGGCCGACATCCATCCAGGTGTTGGGCGGTTGCGCGAAAATATAGTTCATGCCCAGAAAGGCTGCCATTATGACCAGATAGCCAATGATGCCCAATCCATAGCTCAGCTTGTAGATGAAGTAGAACCATTTATAGACGAGCCTAGCGAAACAAGAATGTGGGGCTAAAGGCAAAGATTGATATGTTAACTGGAGCAATTCGCTCACCTGGGCGTTGTGCCCTGTATGGGTTTGGTTGTGGCACGACGCATCACAAGTGCCGTAATGCACGTGAATATTAGCCAAATGATAATGAAGCGTATCCAGAGGAAGGTGCACGAGATGATAAGCGGTATTAGCCACATGGCAAGCAGTGTGACAAATGCATAGGATCTGTAGTGTCGTTTCTTCCACTCGACGAGTATGATTTGGGCAATGACCAGCGTCATAAACAATATGATCACCATTTCCGAGTGCATGGCATCGTGGCCCTTGTGCTTCTCCACCATCAGCTGATGTTCAGCGCTGCCAAAAAGAAGAAGAAGATATGAAATATCGCACCTTGAACCTGCGCCAGCCCATCAGCTTACCGCATGCGCTCCTCCGGCGACATCTCGTCCAGGGACTGCAAAATGAATTTCGTTAACATTTGCTGGCAAAGATCTGCGTATTCCCTTACACCACCCCACCCAACCCTTACCTTGTTCAAGTCCACTGGGGCATGCAGGTCCATGTGCTGTTGATGCATATTGTCGCTGTGTGCCGGCGCGTACAAACCAAGCCGTTGTCGTTTGCGTCTTTGCGGAATTTTGTCAACAATTTGGTTTCTCTCAACTTACAATTTATCTAAGTAATATATGGGTCTAAATAGAAAACAAATAATAATGGCAATATTACATATTGTCCCTGTTTTGCCTATCAGTCGAGTGGCATTGCCACTTGCTACTGACCACTCGTCGGCGTTGCCATTTGTCAAGGCAGCCGCCAGCAATTAAATGTTTGATAGAATAATACTCAACGAATTCGTACGAACTTACTCATGCACACGCATTCTTCAATTCAAAATGCAAACGTGTCAATTGTTGTAAATGATGAAATTGCTAATAAAATTTGGATATGGAATTGAATGAGCTGTAACGTATGCAGCAGGCGTTGCCACGTACGCGCACACCGCTCAGCTGTCTAACAATCGATAGGCAACACTTCTGACGTTAAACAGCACTACTTGCCATTGTTTATAAACTATAAAACAATAGAAAACGTTACAGGTACAGTAAATAGCATGCAATCCGAACACTGGGGCGCCATGGATGAGGATAGCGTTGGGCTAGCGCCCGACAAGTATGTGCCGACGACCGCCAAGCGGCTAAAACTGGACGAGATACGGCAACGCGGCGATTTGGCGCTGCTGCCCGTGGACAAACAGTGAGTACAGTGATGCCTGCCTGGAAACCTCTTTATCCAATATATATATTTATATACATATATATATATATATATATATATACGTTGAACAGCGATCAAATTGAGCTGAAGAGCTCGCTGGTCACGCAAACCATCGAGGTGATGAAACAAACCGAAGTGCTGCAATCCCTCATCGATACGTACTCGAACAAAAATGTAAGTAGTGTGTCATGCATGCACTGGCCGGCCACTATTTATGGTGTTAACTGTATCTAGGGCACTTCGAACTATCTGCTGAACCCCTGCCAAATGATACCCGAAGTTGACTTCCCGCCCGAAAATGCCGCCGATTTGGTGAGCGAACAAAAATTCCAGAAACCCATCTGGTTTATACCCACTATGGACACGGCATATTCACGCGGTGATCCGCAACCGCATCCCGAGATCTCTAGCAATACCTGCCGCCATGCGCTACGCAAAGTCATGTGCGGCCTGCTGCGTCTGGCGGGCTTCACCGACTGCTCCGAGACGGCGGTCATGCTGCTAACCGATGCGGCCGAGGAATTCTTGCGCAGTTTCATTACCGAGTATCGCGGCTACTATGACATCGATGACAGGCTGGAGAAGTCGACAATGCTGCAGCTGCTGCCGCTGGAGCGGGCCTACTTCAGCATGACGGGCACATCGCTCACCCAGGTGCACAACTACTACAAGCACAAGGTGATAACGCGCAATCGCGTCGAGATAGCCGAGTTCAACAGCGTGCTGCAAGAGTACGACAAGCTGATGAAGGAGAGCCAGAGCAGCATGCAGAAACAGCAGCAGCTGCAGCAGCATCACGACTTCAATGGCCACGATTTTCTCAACATACTTGAAATGCAGTCGGGCGACGATGGCGCCAGCAGCGCCAACGGCAGCAACAGCATGGGCAACATTGTTGGCGACATGCTCCAAGAGCTGGGCGGCAGCACAAACTCCAGCATCTCGCTGAGCAATGGCCAGCAGCAAATACTAACCGGCAATGCATTGTACGGCCTGCTCGATGGACAAATGAGCAATACCAGCTCCACAATGGCCAGCACCAGCAACAGCAACAACAACAACAACAACAACGGCAACAACATCAACAACAACAACAACGGCAACAACAACAACAACGGCAACAACAACAACGGCAACAGCAGCAACAACAACAACAACTATCAGAACAATTTCGATACTTAGCACGACAGACAGCACGTTAGCTGTAGCATTATTATCATACGAGACATCGATGAACATATATTTTCTTCACCTGAGTGAATATATGGCTACAGCTACGGCGAGCAACACTTTTGTCTGTAAAGTTGTACTCGCCAAGTGCCCAATACTAAATATCCTTGCAGGCGCAGAGCAATATAAACTATCAAGCTCGAATTTCAAGTGAATTGGATAGAAAAGTTTTCCATACCCAACCAAAATTTCTTTAGCAATTCTTCCTCTAAAACTGTGTATGATATAGTAGTCCGATATATATATATATATAGTTAGCATGGTGGAGCTCTTAAATGTTAAGATTGTTTCAAAATATCTTGAAAATCAAAAAGTTTTTATGAATCGCACAGATGTGAGCAGCACACTGAAGCGCTTAATCAATATGTTAGTTAGATTCTATTGAAAAATGAATAATGTTTTTTACAATAGTTGATAAGGCAGCTAATTATGATATAGTATTCCGATCTGAACCACAAACTAACTTGTATGAAATTCAATGCGACGAACGTGGCTTTGACATCGTCTCGCACGTTTCCAGTTGTCCGCTCAAAAGAGTTGTGGACAAATTAAGCGATAACTCAGGAAAATCGATGTTAATTAGTTAAGCTTAAACATGTTTTTTATTTCAAATTGTATATGTATACTTTTGCATGTTTTCGCATGGATTGTGAACAAAAACACGTTGCTATTTTAAGTTAAAAATGAAATCCCTAAATATGTAAGAGACTAGTTGCGTCGTCTATATAAGATATCTATAAGAAGATAATCCCTATGCGTTGCACAATTCATAACAATATAATTCTAATATCAGCTGCAATAGTATAACAAGTGTGTAAGCAAGTTATCAGCTGCTGTCAAATAGAATCAGGAACTGTTTATAGCAATAATAAGTCGCCTTATACATACATATACTATATGAAAATAACCCGGCGTCGCTCGGGTCCAATGGTTAATGTTAAAATATGCAAATTGGTTTGCATATTTCAGGCAATTCTGTTTGTTTTATTTATTAGCATTGCTCTTCTCTTTGTGAATAAACAAAATATATAATTAAGCATAAAACTTGAGAATTGCTGCTGCTGGATTTGAACCTGCGACCATTTACCATTTTTCATTTATGGACTCCACTTCTGATGCACCTCAATCAAACTTTGATCATCGGATTGCCTCAGTTGGTATGGTCAACCCGAGCGGAAGCTTACAATCAGTCAGGTGAAACTCTTTCATATATAGATGCGTTACAACTTTGTCTTTTTATTCTGAAATCTTTGGCTAATCTTTGTCTCGTTCCAGTTGTTTTTGCGGCGCTGCGCCGTAAACTCGTTTGTGGCATCGATCGCCAGCAGCTTGTGGCCCAGCTCGTCGCAGGCCTTGTACTCGAATAGTTTATCTTTGCGGCATCTGCGTGGCGCCCAGTTGAGCACATCCTGGCCGTTAAGTATGGAATCACCGCTGACGGCAACGGAGGCCAATGCGGCACTTGTTGTTGGTTTATCCAGCTCCTCCCCCTCCAGTTGACGCCGCCTTATGGTGGGCTTCCGTTGTGGGATCAGTTCCGGCTCGATGTCATCCACCACATAGCAATCGGCATCGGCAACAAGTTTGACACGACTATACCAGGCTGTCTTCTTCTCATCCAGTGGCCCACTTTTGGACGGCTGCTCGGTGGCACAATATTCAATTTGATTCTGTATAATTGTGCTTAGTTTTTGCCAAAGGTGCGTTTGCATCTCTGGACTAACTTGCAGATCGCTGGCGGGCCCAGCATCTTGCTCTGCCAGAAAACGCTCACTTTTTGACAAATCTTTCGCCGGCGCGGCAGCCGGCGACGCTTTGATAGAACTTGTTTTGAACATGTCATTTGTCAGCAGCGTGTGATCGGCAGCCTCCAGAAACAAGCGCATTTGTGCGTCGTCTTCCTCGTCTGAATCCGTATCAATTACTTTTAATTTGCTATTCGTTGTTGAAGACATGATGTGCGGCTTTTAACGACAACTTGTTTATTTGTTTACATTTAAGTATGGCACGTTTATCGATAACTTGGCACACGTGCCGAACGATAGAAATAAGCCAAGACCTGCGATTGTTCAACACTGTTAACGATGTTCGTGCTGCTAAACGGCAGATTGTCAGAGACATGAAGCAAACTGTTATGGCACGCCTATCGATAACTTGGCACACGATTGCTCAACACTGCGATTGCGATTGCTCAACACTGCATTATTTGGCAGCTATATTCAAATAGTCTCACATTGAAACCGAAGCAAATTCAAATATTCTTTACCCAGGACCATACAAGCTGACGGAGCACATTTCCATTGCAAACTAATCTTAATATATAAAAGCTACCCCAATTAAAGTGTAAATAACGTAACGTGCAAAAGTAACGTATTTTGAAATGTTCAACGGACATGTTGTGCTGCAGATGAACTATCGTTAGTCAACACTGGCTAACGACATGTTCATGCCTCATCTTAACGGTTTATTTAGACAGTTTAATTGAGTAGAAATTAAACCAATTAAAATAAAATATAGCCATTAAATACTATTAAGTTTGCAGGTGAACTATCGATAGCAATAGCCACTAAACTCAACGGTTTATTTGAGCAGGTAAATTGAAAAGAAATAGTATATTATTTGATTAATTTAAGGTTGATTATGCCACCGAGCTGCAGAGGCCACAATTGCTGACGGGGCACATTTTCATTTCGATATCTTCGCCGACGCGCACAACGGCCGCCATGCCGTTCTCGGAATGCGGCGATATGTGACAGTGGAACATCCAATAGCCGGGACTGTCCGAGTTGAAGTGTATGATCGTATAGCCAAAGGCTGGCACCTGCACGGAATCCTTGAGCGGAGCACCGCGACCGCGACGCGGCAACGGAGTGCGTCGATCGATCTCCTCGATCTGGCCGATGCGCTGCTCGCCGAGCACACCCATGCCGACCACACGGAACGTATAGCCGTGCAGGTGTATGGGATGCGCTGTGTTCGATTTGCTGGAAATGACAAATTCGATATTCTTGTTGGCCGGCACATGGATGACATTGGAGCACTTGCAGTGCCGGCTCTTGCAGTTGAAACCCAGCGCCGCCTGCTGCGTGCTATTGCAAAAGAACTGGCCAATGCCCAGATTACGGGTCTGGAGCAGCGACATCTTTGGCATGCTAAACGTTATGTCGTCCATCTGGAAGCGAAAGCCCTCGCCGCGCAGCTCGAACGCGTTCATGCTGCTGTAGTAGGTGACCGCCGGATTCAGTGCCGGCTGCACGTGCTGCGCATTCAGGCTGACCAGGGAGATGCTGTCCGCGCTGCTGCCGCCGTCATCGTCGCCCAGCTCGTTGAGCATCAGGCCCGGCGCATCGTACGCATAGCTGAGCGTTGTTGTGTCCAGGTTGCGCGGATCGGCGTTCTGGTAGTGCAGCACCGCCTCCTGATGCAGCTGATTCTTGGCACAGAAGCTATAGCCCTTGATGCGCAGCCAGTAATTGGCCACCTCCTGATTGGCGTGCAGCACAAAATCGAAACGCTCGGCGCCATGGAACATGATCTTCTGCACCTCGACCGGCTCAATGTCGTTGCCATCGCTCGCTATGACCACCAGATCGTGTTTGTCAATGCTCAGGCTGATCGGACAGTTCGAAACGCCTGCAAGCAAATGCATTAGTATTAGTAAGCGTGTGTGTGTGTGTGTGTATTAGTGTGGTACACAGCCGAGGCTGCGGCTGAGCCGTAGCGAGCGTGTCTGTGTGCTGCGTCTGTGTGAGCTAAATATAACTGTAAGCTGCGTTCGCTTAAAAATGCGAGCTCTGTGGTGGACTCACCATTGAAGATGACACGAAAGCGATAGCGACCGCCGCGAATGACCCCGAACGTGGCATAGAGCGTGGGCTTCACCTTGCTGTCCTTTTTCATGTTGCGACCGCGTCCATTGATCAGTATATTCTCGGCGACGCTCTCATCGAAATTGTGCACCCAATCCTGTATCATAATGACATGCTCCGACTGATCAAAGTCGTACAGATGCGCGTGAGGATTCAGCTTAAGCGGCTGCCGGACAATCAATGCACCGGCCAGGCCAAAGGCGCGCTGATGCTCGGTGTGGCTGTGCCACCAGTTGGTGCCGCCGTGATCCACCTCGAAGCGATACCGAAACGCCTGGCCCGCCTCAATCGGATACTGGGTGACATGCGGCACGCCATCCATGTGCGGCGTCAAGCGCTGATGTATGCCATGCCAGTGGATGGTCGTTGTCTCGTGCAGGCTATTGATTACGTCGGCGACAATGGTGTCGCCGTAGCAGACCTCGATCGCCTGGCCGGGCAGCTGGCCGTTGACCACCATGATCTGGGACTCGAGACCGTCGGCATATTTGCAATCATCGTTGCGCGCCTCCTGCTCGGCCAGCTTGAAGCTATCGATGTACTCCTTGCCATTCAGCTTGTAGCGATACTTGGCCTGCAGATAGCGTTTGCAGCTGGCCGACATGGTGTCATCGTAGTGGACCACCATATAGTAGTAGCAGGTCATGGGCTGCTGCTCGACGCAGTCGCGCCGGCACGGATGCTCCAGATCCTTGTCCGCGTAGCGCCAATGCGACGACTCTGCGGAAGTCAGCTGTGGATATAGCTGCTTGATGCGCTCGTAGTTGCTTACGATACGTTTGCCGTCGGCGTCTGTAAAATAAGTGTATCGATAATTATCGATTATCGGCTATCGGTTATCGGGCACATATCCTGCTGCTTCACCTTGTATGCCATCGATTTGCACAACAATCAGGCTGCTAATCAAAACGAGCGTCTTGACCAGACTGATTTGCATTATAACAAAAAAATATAAACAAAAAATGTTAAGAGAGAAAAAAAACAGAAGAAATAAATAGCTTTACGAGTTTTGGTATATTCGCTGCGGCAAAGGCCAACACATAACTGTTGATCAATTTCCGTCTTCGGTTACCTTTTGTAAGCGTTTAGCAAAATGACAATTGAAGAAATTGCTTGGAATTCGCTTGTCGCGCGGCATTGTCGCACAGAGTGTGCTCGTAAATGGTTAATTGAAGATTGTTCGCGATGTCACAGCTGAAATCAGCAACAGATACACTAAATAGACAAAATTCTAATTTCCATGGCAATGGCAATGACTAAACGCAGCCAACGTCAAAACGTGGGGGGAACAACCAGCGAAAATGTATGATGCCTTCGCTTCGTTTCTTGGCTCCGTTGCATGTGCCAAATATTTGGCCTTGGGGAAGTCCCCATCATCAAATTGACAGCAATATTTGAATTTGAATTCAAATTCGTTGGACAGTGTTGCACAGCGGTCAGTGTGGCCAGCGCGGCCAGTGTTGCACAGCGGTCAGTGTGGCCATGCGTGTTCCTCATTTAATTTGTGTCCAAGCGAATTAAGATTAAGCTATTACAATTGTAGAAAATGCGCTCAATTACCGACGCCTTGTTTGTTGTTGGCCAGTGTTGCACAGCGTTCAGTGCAGCAGCCAGTGCTGTGCACACATGTTACGCTTTCTCATGGGCTGTAAACAAATTAAAAACTAATAGAACTCTTGCTGTTTAAATTTCAGATAATGCCCAGGTAAAGCTGATTTGACGTCCACGGCCCCCCGACCACCAGCATTGTTTTTATATGTATATTTATCTGCATCTGCTGATAGGCAACCGTTTGGTAAAAACAACGTTATTTGTGTGCGAGAGATTGCATATACAGACATACATGTGTACATACATGCATATATGCTTGGGTCTTACGGGACGCTAATCAAAATGCCTGACGCGCTCGCGTACACGGTTTTAGAGATGGGCACGGGCCGTGACACGACGAGCTGTAATCGCAAGATGATTGCCTCAAATTCGAACGAGCCGCACGAGAGAATGGAAATATATTAACAAAAATTGAATATATAGCAGCTATTGCTTTTAAGCGAAATCAAAGTGATGCTCGATCCAATTAGATTGCTTTGGTTCGTGCCCTTCGTGCGTGCTTGTTTGAAGTTAGTTTCGTGCTCGTGCTAAGTCGTGAACAGGCACGCGGCCATCTCTGCATTTGTGTTGTATACAAACAAACCAAGCCTAAGAACATTGTACTGAATTATAATTTCGTTTTCATTTATTTTTATCGGAACGCGCCCGCCTTTGTTTATGGCTGCTTGCACTTGGGGCCAAGATTGTCGATTATGCAAAGCAAAGTAAAATGGGCGACACATAGAAAGAAGAGAAATAGCAAAAGTGAAGTGAAAAAAAGAAAAGAAAAAACAAGTTTCGTCAAAGTTTTGCGTGCAATTTGTTGGCCGACGGCGCGTCATGTACTTCATTAGGCAATTCGCATTGCAGTCGAGCAGACGCAGACGCAGTGCAGCTTCTCCTTTTCGGCACGGTAAGCGTTTTTTTTTTTTTTTGCGGGGAGGTGGCAACGCCGGCAACGGCAACAGTTATTTCTCATGGCATTTCACAACATTGGCGCAGCTAACAAACATTCATCTAACATGCCAGACGACAGCAAACAAATGGCCAGCTTGGACACGAGCGTACACTCGGCGGGCATCGAGGAGGTGCACAATGTTCCGATGAGCGTCATTAAGCGACCGATACCCTCCGTCCTGGACGAGCTGAAGGTGCTGTCGCTCATGGACACCATCAAGGTGCGTACTTGAGGCGATTTTACTGGGCAGCTGCAGTTGATTATTTCTCCCTCTCCCTCTCTCTCTCTCTCTCTCTCTCTCTCTCTCTCTCTCCTGCTCTGCGTGCAGTCGGAGCGCAGCGAGGCTGAGGTGCCGCCAGTTGATATCTTGTGGATAACCGGGAGCGAGGGCGGCGACTATTACTTCAGCTTTGGCGGCTGTCATCGGTTCGAGGCGTACAAGCGTCTCAATCGGGAAACCATAAAAGCGAAACTGGTCCGTTCCACTTTGGGCGATCTTTACCATTACATGGGCTCCAGTGCGCCCAAATATTTGGCATAGTCCAAATTGTTGATTTGTTGTTAAACATGTTTGCCTTAAATCTGTTTGTGCATGTTTTATAATCATATGTCTATACTTTTTACAAACAAAACTCTTTTACTGAACGCTGCGCTTAAGCTCGCGTTAACGATCAGTTGGACCTTAGCCAACACTTAAAGCCCTTTTTATTTACTACTAAACTTGGCCTGTGTGCCTGGCGAAATGGGAGTGCATAAATAAGCAGGCTTATCAAGCAATAGCTGTGGCCAAATCAGGTATATTTGCAAAATTGCTGCAAATCTTAAAAGAATGCAATGATCTTCGATAACATTATCGTTATCTCACACAGCGTCAATTAGAGATGGACCTTGCACCAATTAATTGCGCATTAACCAACACCAATCGCTGTGCAAGTAACGATTCCAATTGGAAAAACGTCCAACAGGAATCAGGGACAACTTTAAGAACTTTCATTCTATTCGCTTGAAGATCTTCAGCTACTGACTTAATGTGAATAAAAATAATGTTGAATGTTGATGACATGAATCGGATATTACAATATCTCGAAATAACACTCGATGTAGCATTAATTTTGGTAGTTGATTCGTATATTTGAATTATGGTACAAGACGTGATAGCTGACATGTCATCGAGCATGTCACCAAGCCAGACACAGCTGGTCACGTTAGCTCAGGACATGATTTCGCTGCTAGCTTAGAAAAAAAAAAAGAACTTACTACAATTGGTTAAATGCATAAATACACAATTTGAATTGGCTACACAAAAAATGCGTTATCAAAAAAATAATTAAATTAATAGCTAAGGGGATCTGGAGGATTGGCTACCAGAGAAAGGGCGAGCGTTCGCGCAAGATGCGCAGCCCGTAGCGCTGCCATTCGCGCTGCGTGATCCAGAGCTCCCGGGCGGACTCCAGCACCGACATGATGGCGGCGCCCTTCCAGGCAACCATGCCCACATCCATGCCCTTGCTAAAGACGTTCACCTCGAGGCCGGCGGGCACCTGCTGGCTGATGCGCTGCTCCAGCCAGGCGGCCAAGCCGCGCAGCTTGGCGCTGCTGCCGACGAGAAGAATGGCGCCAAACATTTTGCGACGCGTCTCATAGCTGCCGCAGCGCCCGATTGCACGGATGACGGCCTGGTCGAGCGAGACCACCTGACCGCCCGGATTGTAGTACCACGAATTGCTTGACTTGGGCAGCGGCTGCTCCTGTTTTTGTTGCTGCTGTTGCTGCTGCTGCTGGGAGTTACTGTTGCTGCTGAGCGTCGTCTCGTCCTGATCGACCACAATCAGCTCCTCGTCGTCGGCGGTGATGGGCAGCTGTGCCGCCGGCTTTGCTGTGGGTGCGTTGCCCACCATGCTCAGATCGCCCGCCCGGACGCCGTTGCGCCGGCCCGTCTCGCGCAGATACTCGGCATCGAAGCAATCCTCGCAATCGTATTGCTCCTGTGCCGATTGCTGTGTGTGCACGGCTCGTGTTTTGCCCGTTATGTTGAGCAGCTCGGTGTGAAAGAGCGCCAGCGGCGCCATGATGGCCTCGTCGCCCACCTGCAGCGTATAGCGCACCCATTGGCCATGCGGCTGGCGCAGCGTAAAGTGCTTCTCCTGGGCGCCGCACACGTTCGCGTTCAGATGGCAGAAGCGCTCCTTCAGCTCGTCCAACAGCTGGGCGTCCACATAGCTGCGCTCGACGCAGCACTCGCGATACGGAAAGCCGCATTTGCGCAATAGCATGAGCAGCACCTGATCGATGTCGCCGCCGCCGTAGCTGAGCCGTACACGGGCATCCAGCTGCGAGATGCCATCCTCGATGCAGGCAATGGAGGTCTTCTGGGCGCCAATATCGACCACACAGCCGTACCCAATGCCGGCGCCATAGGTGGCCGCCACGCTGTCCTGCACCAGAAAGCAGCGCTGGAAGCCCAGCCGCTGCAGCAGCAGGGTCATGGCCTCGCGCAAATGTCGCCGCACATAAACATCGTTGACCACCAGCACGGCGCTGTGGGTGCCCAGATCGCGCAGCGCTATGCCCAGACGCTGTTCCAAGGCATACGACCAGATGCGCTCCAAATGTGACAGCGTCGCCTGCAAGGAACCGCCGCGCTCGCCATGCACATGCAGCTCGCCGCGCCTGATCGGAAAGTGTATGTCATAGTTGTGTGCATCCCGGGCGCTCAGGCGCAATATCTGTTCGTCGTACAGCATTGGCGCCTCGCTGTGCCAGTTGTTGTGCTGCTCGGCGGGCACGGGTGGCGGCACTTGCTCCGCCACGCTGCTGCGATTGAAGTGCGCCAGCTGCTGCGGCGGCGTGGCGACACGCAAACGATTCTGTTCATCGACCACACAATGCTGCAGCAGCCGCGACACGGCCAGACGCTGCTCCTCGAACTCCGACTGTAGGCGCCCGGCGTGCACGCTCTCCAGCGGCGGCAGCAGCGGATCGTGATGCGGTGCATTGTCGCTCAGCTGGGCGGAGCGCCTGTAGGCGACCGCGTGCAGCATGGTCAACGGATTGAGGTCGGCGGCACGGCCAATGCGCAAATGCTGCGAGCCCGGATGGATTATGATTATCTTGGGCGCCTCCAGCGGCTGGCTGGGCGGTTGCTGGTGCGGCGCACGGCCGCTGCTTGTGCTGCTCGCCCGCGAACGCCTGTTGCAATTGGACTTGTTTAGCTTGGCTTTCTCGCCCATCTCGCTGACGGCTACTCACTGCATTATTTAATGAAAAGCTGCTCAAGCGGCAGCCGCGACAGCCGGTGCAAATATTTTAAGGCTTGCATTGTACTCGCTATTATCGAATCGAATAGCAACTGTGCGCGCTAATGCTGCGTTTCCACTGCATAGCGTTTGCCTATCGCAACACTCGATAAGCATTTACTTCGATTAAGCAAAATATTCATATTTATATAAATTTTAATATATAACAATTATTTTATAAAAGGTGATAAGGATAAGGTGATAAAGAAACACAATTACGGGAATCGATTAATAGACGCAGGCTGAACAAGAAGCTGCTGCGAAAAGCAGTGAGAACGGTTCGTTGTGTCACAGCAAGCAGCTTCAGTTCGTGTCTGCCATTAACATATCGATAACTCGTCACGTTCTATCGCCGTATCGATAACACAGTCTCAAGGAACGTGCTGCGTCTTTTGTTTTTTAATCATTAACTCATTGTGAAATTCCAAAATCAGATAAGTTAGCAGACACATAAAATAAAAACAAACAACAGAAAATGTCGCATTTCACGTGCATGAACTGCGATGCACGCTTCGCCAATGCCGATGCACAGGGGCAACACTACAAGACCGACTGGCACCGTTACAATCTGAAGAGGCGCGTGGCGCAGCTGCCGCCCGTCACGGCCGAGGAGTTCCAGCAGCGCGTGCTGAGCGCACGCCGGGCCGAGGAGGCGGCCATCGAGGAGCAACAAATGAGCGTCTACTGCACGGCCTGCCGCAAGCAATTCGGCAACCAGAAGGCCCACAACAATCATCTGAACAGCAAGAAGCACAAGGAATCCCTCGCACGGCTCGAGCAGCAGCAGCAGCAAACGGATGCGGGCACGTCCGGTGCGCTCTCCGTTTGCGTCAAGAGCATTGTCGAGCCGCGTCCACATCCCGCTCTGGCGGCAGCTGCCGCGGGCAAGGGACGTCTGGCGTTTGCGGATCGGGCCATGCAAGTGGATGCGGCTGAGGAGGACGAGGACTTTGAGGACATCGAAGAGGAGGAGGTGAGTGTGTCGGTGCTGTTGAACATTAGCTGAATGTCATGAAACTCTGTTCTACTTCTTTCTGTTTTTTTTTTTTAGGTCGATTCGGATGAATGGGAAAAACTGGCCGAAAATCCATTAACCGAACGGGATTGCCTGTTCTGCAGCCATCAGAGCGCGGATCTGGTGGAGAACCTCAAGCACATGTCCGTCAAACATTCGTTCTTCATACCCGACACCGATTACTGCACAGATATTGAGGGCCTGCTCTACTATCTGGGTGAAAAGGTGGCCAACTACTTTATTTGCCTGTGGTGCAACGATCGTGGCAAGACCTTCTATTCCCTGGATGCTGTACGCAAGCATATGGTCGATAAGGGACACTGTCAGATGCTGCACGAAGGCGTCGCCCTGGCCGAGTATGCCGAATACTACGATTACAGTGCCAGTTATCCGGATCATGTACGTATCCAAATTATCCGATATTCTCGCATCCTCTGTGACGTCACATTCGATTGGTCCAATTTGAGTCAAAGCTCGAGAGCGAGTTGCCACCTATTGTAAATCTCTCTCTCTCTCTCTCGTTCTTCCTTTGCTTACAGAAAGAGGGCATGGACATTGACGAAGAGGTTGTGCCCGATCTGCTTGACGGCGACGAGTACCAGCTGGTGTTGCCATCCGGCGCAGTTATCGGCCATCGCTCGCTGCTGCGCTACTATAAGCAGCGACTGCAGCCGTCGCGCGCAGTTGCGCTCAAGAAATCGGACAGGAAGCTGCATCGCGTGCTAAGCGAATATCGGGCGCTCGGCTGGACGCAGACGCAGCAGCAGGCGGCGGCGCGCAAGGCACGCGACATTCATCTCATGAAGCGCGTGCAGTCCAAGTGGCAGATGCAGCTGGGCACCAAGGCCAACAAGCTGCAGAAGCACTATCGTGCACAGGTGCTCATTTAGGCCGGAATCATAGATCGGAAGAAAATGAAATATACAACTTGTGGCAATTGTTTTTTTTTTTTTTTTTGTTTTTTTGTTGCTTTTAAATCAAGCAAAATTGGATTTCATTCATGAAAAATTACTGCGCACAATTGCTCTTTGAATAAAATTACATAATTTAAATTAAAAATTAAATAAAATTTACTTTTGATTCTGTATAAGTAAAATTATTTCGTTATGGTTACATTAAAGTTATGCAATTAAAACTAGGTAAAAAAAAAAAAAACTGTTCTAATTCATAAGAACACTCTTGCTAACTGTAAACGCGATGAGCGATGCGTGTGCTTGTGCTTGTGTGTGTGTGTGTGTGTGAGCGAGACGGCTGCATGGTGAGAGCGTGATTTAAATAAACCGATGCGGTATGTGTAGGTGTGTGTATGTGTGTGTGTGTAAATTTCAGCTAGCTATGAATGTTGTGTGTGTGTGTGTGTGTGTGCGTGTGTGGGTGGATGGATGTGCAATAAATAGCAGTGTCTGCTGGCGAGCTAAGAGAACGGAAGAGCAGCACACAAAAAAGAGAGGAGCGCAACAGCGGCTCAGACGTGTTTGTGTGCATGCGTGCGTACGTTTGTGTGTGTGTGTGTGTGTAAAAAAAAAGCAAATAAAATAAAAATTGTTAAATTATAGTTTATATAGACGGCAGGTAACGCTAATGTATAACTACAGGATTCTGTTGAACACATACGCCCACCATGGGCGACGACGAGGAGGCATCGCTGCTAGCGCCCGCTGCTGAGCTGCCGCTGCCGTTGCCGCTGCCGGACGTTGCTGCCGTTGCTGCCGTTGCTGGCAGCGCAGCCAACGATGATGACGTCGACGCAGACGCTGGCAGCGGCACAGGCAGTGGCAACGGCAGCGGCGCCAACGGTTGCGGATGATAAAGCAGCGCCGTATAGGAAGCCGGTCCCGAGCCAGCCGGACCGCCGGCAGCCGATGCACTGATAACACTCGAATCGGTCATCATCAGATGGGACGCAGCTGCGGACATGTTGCCATAGTGATGCATCAGGTCCAGCGGCAGCGAAGCTGGCGCAAAGCTGTGATGCGGCTGGGGCTGCGTTTGCATTTGCATTTGATGTGCGGCGGGTGGTAGCGAAGGCAGCAGCATTGACGGTGGCGGCGGCTGCGGCTGCGCTGCACCGTTATGCTTAATGCTGCTGAAATTCTGATGCGGACCAACGCCAGCGCCGACGCCGCTGTTGCGCATGCGTCCAAAATGCGGCTGGCCAAGACGCAGCGCTGCCGCTGCCATAGCCACAGCCGATACTGGCGGCAGCGGCGGCGGCAGCATCTGTTGCGCCAGCGGCGGATCACAGTCCATGGCGTGCGGATAGCTGTTGCCCATGTAAATGTTGCGGCGACCGCTGTTGCAGCCGATGCCGACGCCGACGCCGCTGCTGTGATTTAAGCTATTCAGACTGTTAATGTTGTTGTTGTTGCTAATGTTAATGTTGTTGTTGTTGTTGTTGTTGTTGGTCGCTGCTGTTGACGCTGGCTGCGACTGCAGACTGAGCGCCGAAAAGTTCATCGCATTGGCCGCAACTGTCGTGTTGTTGTTGTTGCTGTTGTTGCTGTGATTGTTGTTTGTGTGATGCAATAGCAGACCTGCAAAAGGCAAATGTTAAAGAGTTCAATCAAAATTTGCAGCTGTAAATGATAAGAGCGAGCGCCAGTGCAGAGTTGCCACACTGCAAAAGTTTGCCTCTGTTATTGTTGGTGTTTGTTTGTAGTTGTTTTTTTTTTTGTTGATTATATCATAAATTTTTATTGAAGGGTTTTTTACGCTTTTTTTTTTGTTGTTTTGCTTTTAGTTTTCTTTCTTTTTTTTTGCATTTTAAATTGTTTTTCTTTTCTTTTTTTTTTTTAACTTATTAATTAGTAATCTTTCATAAATTATTTCGTACTCATTAAACTTAAACCATCAGCTTTTATGTTATATATTTATATAAATGCCACATATGCGTGAGACTGTGTGTGTCTGAGTGTGTGTGTGTGTGTGTCTAAGTGTATTTTCTCATGAATTCTTTGTTTATTTCTTGCTTTTTGTTACATTTTTTTTTAAACAACTAAATGCATTTCATTTGCCAACCAGTTTCTATTCGTTTTTCTTTTGCATTATTCTTTAGCTTTCTTTCTTTTTTTTTTTTGAATTTCCTTTTGCAATACTGTTTTCGTTAAGTGTATGTTTTCGTGTCCGTGTGCCTGTGTGTGTGTTGTGTGTGTGTGTACGTACGCTGGGACGCCATTTTTATTGGGCCGCTCGCTGTTAGTTAACATGGGCTTAACATGAAATGCTGCTGCATACCTTGAGGCGTTCTCACTTGACACTTTTGCGTTGCGTTTTATTTATTTTTAGTTTTCTTTTCTCGTTTTTTTCTGTTATTTGTATTTAATTTTTTTAATTTTTTTTTTGTATTGGTTTTAGGGTATTGTTAAATTTTGTTGCGTGATTTCTAAATATGCATTTAATTTTTTACTTTTTCGTATTCCACATTTGGCCTAAATCTAAATGCTTGCAATTCATGTTCAAGTTTTGCTTTTATTTAATATTTCGTTTTTCTTCTGCGCTTTATGCAATATTCTCAACTAAACTATGTGTGTGTGTGTGTGTGTGTGTGTGTGTGTGTGTGTGTGTGTGTGTGTGTGTGTGAATGCGTATTCTTTTCTTGTTATTTAACTTAAATTTAAAACACTCTTGTTTTCGGCTTTTGCTTTAAGTATTTTACACAACTTCTGAAAGTTTCTCATTTTATTTATTAATTAATTGTTAAATTCTTGAATTCTTGTTTTTACTCGGGAGCTAACACTAGATTGTTGAATTATACATACACACATATATAACTCTCATCGCTTCTCTCCAAAATCTCTTCAATTCTCTCCAATTCTCGCTTTCTCGGCCTGTCTCTGTCTGAGTGTAATAAAAATGAATTGATTTCCTTCGTTTTTATTTTCGTTTTCGCATAATCATTTTCTCGTTTATGTATACACATGTATATGTATGTGTATGTGTCTGTGTGTGTGTGTGTATTTGTTAAATGCTAGAGTTTTCTTTTTAGTACGATTTTATATTGTTATGCAATGCGATTTCC